GCGTTTTTGCATTTGACCTCGCCAATCCATGGGAAGGGGTTACGCGTCACGCCGAAAATGTTCATTTTACGACACATTTTGACGCTCGACCAGGCCAATCCATGGTAAGGGTTGCATTCCCGACGGAGGCGTCGGAGCTGGCTCCGGCTTTAGAAAGAATATTTAAACTTAAGTAAGAGATTTAAGTCGGGATAAGTTAAGAAAGTCAAGTTAAGAGTTAATTAAGTTAAGTTAAGTTAAGTTAAGTTAAGTTAAGTTAAGTTAAGTTAAGTTAAGTTAAGTTAAGTAAGTTAAGTTAAGTTAATAAGTAAGTTAAGTTAAGTAAGTGAAGAAAGTCAAGTTAAGAAAGTCAAGTTAAGAAAGACTCGATGTATAACGCTGTGTATCTGATCCTATGTAAGTTATCCCATGTATTTCTCGAGGGCTCCGCACGGAAGAATCCTTCGAGATGCTTTCGGGAAAACAGTTTTCTGCGCCGACAAGTCTGCTCAAGCATGATTTGCGTTTGCGACCGCTTCAGAAAACAGACACTTAGCTGACTTAGCTCCATCGTTTTGGGCTGGCCGGCCCATGTTGCCCTTGCTTCACGCTGTGCTTCCAATGCTTATCCTTTGTTCGGGCCCTCGCGCACCCCAACCGAGCCTTCCCTTTGCATTCAAACCCCCATCCATCCCATTTCTCCGTTGATGGCTCTGGCATATTAATGCTGCGGGTCGAATCCGAAGGAGTGGTTTTTTGTCGATGTTCAATGCTTTGTTCATCCGGTCGGTTCGGAGCCAAGCAGATCAGAAGCCAAGGAGTCTGCCCGAAGTCAGCCAGCACCGGAACATCACCGGATTGCAGCAGAATATTCTCCGTCTTTACATCCCTGTGCACCTCGTGTGAAGAATCGCTGCTCAGCAACAGATGCATCCACACAATGAACCCTCCTCCCTTTGAGGTAAAGGCGATGTTGTGGTCATGGATCCTTTTCAATCCTCGAAGGATTCCTAAGCAGAGCAGTTGCTCCCAAGGCGTGACCTAGAACCCCGTCTAGCAGTTTATGCACCACGAATTTAATCCAGCTACCCTTGAACAATGGTCTGGCAGATGCTTCTGTCATCCCACCCAAATGAAGCACCTGAGCCAAATCGAGTTTTGAACAGAACTATGAGATCCGCACCGGCTCTTCAGATCTGCCGCCTTGTACAGCAAGTCGCCACCCAATGCCAGGTCAAAAACACTGGAGAATCGAACTTGCTCCTCGGCGTTTTGGTGCTGTAAGGGTCCAGCTATTGGACGTGCATTGTGCGAGCTGTCCATCTCTACTTTCCAGAAAATTCCACGGAAGCCGATGATGTGGTCACCCCGCAGCTCGGCGAGAGCAGCAACCTGGCAGCTAACCACTGGGTGCCACCTAGCCTCTAGGGCTTAAGATATAGGTTTCATTTCATAGGGTTTACTCGCCGTTTGCGGATAAGGAAACGAGGCAGCTTGGATGCTAAACGCCGGGGATTTCACAGCAACCTGTCACTGCACCGGCTGAGGCTCGTCCTGTCCGAGGGTGGGAGCCCGAGAGCAACGCACACAGAATTCATGCTCCACCACCACTCCATACCGGAGCTCCAAATTAGCCAAACATGGTCATTGGCATGCGAAATCAAGACGAAAGAGACTAAAGAATAAAGCGTCAAGCGTGATCCCACATGAGCTCGTCTCTAGCTATCGAATCTCGAGCCTCTCGCTCAATGGACTCCAGGTCTGTGGTGTGATGCATTTGCTTCACCTGCAGGTCCGTCGCACTTGTCGCAGCAGACCAAGACAGGCTATGTTGGTTGCACGATGCAGCCCAGGAGCTGCCACATCGTGGCCTGCCGCTGCCTCAAGTTGCAGAATTCTCCAGGGCTTCACTCTTACGCGAGCTCGTGACAGAATTTACGCGAACTGTCGACGAGGAGGAGGAGGAGGAGGAGGAGGAGGCGGAGAGTGATGAAGATGAGGATTAAGGAGGTGATGATGATGATGATGATGACGATGATGGTGATAATGGCGATGATGATGTGATGAGGACGAGGATGATGATGATGATGATGATGTGATGATGTGATGATGATGATGATGATGATGATGTCGATGTTGATGATGATGATGATGTTGATGTCAATGACGATGACGATGATGGTGATGATTATAGTGATGGTGATGATGATGGTGGTGGTGATGATGTCAATGACGATGATGATGAGGGTGATGACTATGGTGATGGTGATGATGACGGTGGTGATGATGATGATGAAGAAGATGATGATGATGCTGATTACTATTATGATTATGGTGGTGATGGTGACGGTGATCATGATTGCTGTTGTTCCGATTACTAGGATGAGTATGTATGATGACAGTGCCGTCATCCGTGGTCCGCGATCACGATGAAGGAGACTTCCGTGATGAATGACGAGGTTCGAAGTGGCTGCGGATGTGAACGCCCGGGCCCTAGAAACAGTTGTGGTAACTCAGGAACTTTTCCCCATCTCGCCTTGTTCTCAAGGGCTTAGCTCACAAAACCCAGATGTTCGGGCCCCTTTCCCTGAGTTCACCGAAGAATGTCTCAAGATCGAGCAGCTTGTTTTCGCAACTGTTTGCTTGATTGTTCTCAGTACATTGCTGCGATCACTCTGCCAATGATACTTTCGGAGGAGTAGAGCGCAACCTGTTACGCCGGAGGACCTGGGGATGTTGAAGCGGTGCAGCATGCGCATGCGCATCATACACTCGTCGTGCTTCTTTCTGAGAAGGGGTGGCTTGTAACTTCATTCGATATCTACTTGGTTCACCAAACTCAACACTCCAAAAAAGTGAGTGGCTCCGACAAGGGGAAACGCCACGGAAAGAGTGTTTGGTTCCAAAAATCCCAAACCTTTTTTGTAATCGTGGAGCCTGCACTTTTCCATCCACGACCAATGTGCAGCTTGCGCACAAAATCAACGATAGATTGCTTTTGGATGCTCACACATCATCACGCGACAGCAGGGATTCAGACAGGGGACGTGCCTCTCCCTCCTTATCGGGTAGCCTTCGCATCTTCCAGGAGGTGCTATGTCGCAGCTTCCGTTCGCACAGCCAATTTGGCACTGCATGCTGTCTTGGGGCGAGGTTCGGTTGCGAACCTTCTACAGCCCCTTTCGTACAGGGTGTAGGATTCGAAGCCTTCCGTTGAAGGGTCTGAAGCTGGCTTGAATCGTTTCGGGTCACAGCAGGGCCCACCCATTCAAGACCTCCAGTAACTGCGGGCAATGGAAAAGCTCCGACTTCTCAAAACCTGGCCAGTGGCATCCTCTCCCACCCAACATTGGGGTCAGGGAACAATGGCTCACAAGACAGCGGATGTAAGCTCAGAGCCCGCATTTGATACACCGTGGCATACCTGACAAACGTTGCGCAAGAACTCCGAGACGGAGCCAACCAAAGTACGCAAAAATGTCTGTGAATTGGGAATAAATTCTCAATGCATTCGACTGGGCAGGCGAGATGCGCTCCCTCTCCAATGGCACAATCACCGTCATGCGCCATCGTAAAGGATGCATCAAGGTCCGTCCGGAGACAACCACATGCACCTTGGCTGTGACATTTGCTGCTCGCATGCCTGCCGTTTGTCCGGCACATCACGAGGCCGCCACTGAGCATGTCAACAAAGCTGTGGGGTGTGCAACCAAGCACGCAGATAAACCAGCCTCACCGTCAAGGGCGATGTACGCAGGACGAAACACAGATCGCAGCTGGGAACATTCAACGTCGCACAACCGGAACCTCGCTCGCCTCGCTCTTGGATTGCCCCTTTCATCCCCTTTCATGGCTTTGGCCTTCAGCGGTGGACGTCAATCCTGTCACGGAGGTACTGCGGATACCAGAGCCAGGCCTCAGATGATTTGCGTTTACAACAGCACAACAGCCTAAAACACAACTAGCCTAGCTGCCTAGCTTCGCTCAGCTTCAACCGACGACTTGACTTGGTCCTAGGATTGAGAAAGCCGCCTGCGGGCTTGAGGACGGGTGCTCAAGGTCACTTTGCTGCCGGAGTACGCTGGAGGAACCACCGATACCAACGTCATGTCGGCATGGCTGCCCTTGGCAGCACGAGCACAAAGACGGATGTCAAGGGTTTCGTCGGTTTCGTGCACTGGCAGCAATCCTCCAAAAACAATGACCTTAAAGTTCACCTCCCCGCTTCATTTGTTAATGGAGCCGTCTGCCTATCGCCTGCGAAGCTACAGCAAGCACGGAGGTCCACAAGCGGCTGTATTGTTTTTACAGCACCGAAAGTCCCACTAGTTACTAGTTACTAGTTCGAAGTCTGAATGGATTCTTGCCAAGCTGCACTTTTAACTGGACACCAGCTCACTTCAGACATCAGAAGGCTTTCAACCTTGAGGTCAAGACTGACAGTCGCTCTATCTAATATGGATGTCCTCAAGCAAGCATCAAATTCGAGACTTGCACCACTGGCACTGGCTCTTGAGAGGAGTCTTCAACCTCGGTGCGACATATGTCGCTCCGAAGTGCTTGCTGCGACGCCTCCTCCCCCGCAAGACTCAGCTCTGAGATTCGCACGACCAAGGACAAACCATCTACGTTGCACCGCAGCGACGTTTGCTCTCCATTCTCCTGGTGCGCAGGAAGTAAGATTCGATTGGGTCATTGGGTGTGGACTGAAAAAATCCCCAGGGCCATGTAGCATGTCAATGGGCGACTTCGTAAAGACTCATGTCGTTTGCGGCTCTGCGGTTGGGAGAGCATGTTGTGGCAGCTCAGAACCAAGTGTCCGAGAAGTCCATCACTGCTGCAAAAGCCTCCGCCACAGATGCGAACCCGGCTCCTTGGAACAAGGTCACATCGCTTTGATGGGCTTGGGAAGATCTCAGGCGCACAACCTCGTTTCCAAACCGGGGAGCTGTTGACTGTTGCCGGTTTCAGCGCTCGGGCATCTTGCCCATGGCATCTGTGGAACCAAAAGATTGGGCTAGGAGACGATGAAGAAGAAGATGGGAACATGCCTGAGTACGTTTTCGAAGCACACGCTGAAGACACGCACTCAAGTGCTCCAAGTAGCTACCGTCCTTCTCTTCCATCTATGCATTCACACATTCGCATCCACAACCTGAACAAAACACAAGGGCGGCACAACCGTGGAGAAATTGCAAGAAACCCATCAGGCGGCGACGAAGAAAGCCGTCTGCAGTGAGCTCTCGGATGAAACGCCCCACTCTAACACGCAGCCCCCGACTCGAGTCTTTTCCTAGCGCCTTTATGCACCATTTCTCCCCCTGCCGATGCTCCGTTCCTGCTTCTAACTTCTAACCAAGCTCATGTCGAAAGCTTTCTCAGCACACCTTCATTTAGCTAGAGCTTATAGCTCATCCTTCCAGATTAGTTTGTGGGAACGCCTTCTATGAGATTGAAGGTGCGAGATCAGCTGCAACAGGCATGTCTGAAAAAATGCACACATGGACTTGAGCCACACTGCCACACACATCCCAGCATCCAGTACAGCTAACAGTCAGCTCCATGAGCAGGGAATCCCTTGCTGCCGCTTCTCAAGCCGTTCGAGCGGATCCAGGCAAGCGGCCAGTTCTCTTGTCCACATCAGATGCTCAGACTCAGAAGGCTCTTGCCTGCTACACTCTTTGAGTAAAACAAAAGGGGCGAAGAGGCGCCTTAAGGGCCGAATGTGGCTGCGGAGCGAAGCCTCACATTGGAAGCTTGGATAGGGTCTCCCTGCTGGGAGCCTCAGAAACCGCCGATGCTAATTGAACTACGAAGGTGAAACTTCTTTTCAGGTGTTGAAGAAGGGTATGTCCGTGATGGGGCGTCCACACCGCTTTGCAATGCCTTGGTGGGAGAAGCTAAACCCTGTTGCTGCTGCATGACGTGAGCAATGACGAGGGAGGGATGAGCGTCTGACCATTGATCATGTCTCGAACCCTGGTCAGGGACGAGCCGTTTGCTTCCAAACCCCAAACTGTGAAAGACCAGACTAGCCAAGCTTCTGGTAGAGTCTCCAATCTGTCTTCTGGTCGTGGATGACCCACTTGGGAACCTGTGGTGCGCTCAACGAAAGGAACTCAGAGCAGAGCCAAAGTCCCACCAAGATCCGAGCACAGGTCCGACTCAGCAGTCGCAGCGCAGAGAACTGGACATGACCTGAGACCGGCGTGTGCCGGGTAAGTCACTGCCTGAGATGGTCCCAATGCGACCACGACGCAGGATTTCAACATGTGCTCATGCCCTTGATCACCACAGGCTTTGTCACACCTTGGCTCTCAGATCGAGCGACACTGGTGCACCCTGTATACCCTGTCCCAGTGCTACAGAGCGACGGATTTGGGAGTGGCCCATAGGCTTGGCCAGTCAAGCCTGACATCACAGGCCCTTCCAAGAGCACTCCTCCGAAAGCACTCGTAGTCGCATTCTTGACATGAGGCAGGCTTGGATTCCCATGCAGGTGCCGCGCAGAGGGTCCTCGCCGAAGGTGGCTTGAAGCTTCGACCGTGTCTACCAGATGTTAACCCAGGCAGCCAAAGCTGAAAGAACAACCTCACTCTTGAGACTGTCCTTCGCCAGTTCCCGGCAGGTCGTATCCGCACCGTAAATGGTGTCAAAGCACTTGCCCTGGGCACCAAACGTTGTTGCAAGTTCAGGTGCAGTCCATCTCGAAGCTCGAGTGCACACAGTAGACGACGACTCAACATCAGCCACATCCGCCGTGTTCCTTGTGAACTGTGCAGCTCTGGCTTGGTCTTGGTCCCTGCCTCTGCCCCCTTTTTGGCCGTCCTAAGATAAGTCGACTGTTGGGTATGAAGCACAGAGAACGAGCCGTTTGTTTCCCACACAAACGACCGAAATCGTCCGAGGCTCCGCACACAATCAAAAAGGGTCTGATTGAAGACCTGCCATGGAACCCCCTTTTCAGCAGCTCAAGACTTCTCGATTCCAATCAGTTGCACCGTGTCATAGTTCGCATCGCCAGAATTCAGAGCTACGCCACCTGGGCTCAGGGTGAGTCAAGCCGGCACTGCCTGTACAAAGTTAAGCGAGCCACGAAAATCGCCGCGGCTCCGCATCGATATGACATCTCGAGCGTCGTAACTGGTCCTTCGACTATACACGACATGTTCTCCATTTCTTCCCCATTTCTTCCCGCCGGATCAGCGAAGTCGAGCCTGGAGGCTTCCCATCGATGTCGAAGGGCAAGTGCTCCCACGATGGCTACAAGACCTGTCGAGTCCGGACTCGAAACCGTGGCTGTAGAATTTTCACAGCTTTTTGCCGGGTCTTTTCCCAGCCACCCTCCAAAACAGCATCCCTTTACACTTGCGCGTTCGTTCGTACGGTCCGCTATGCGAGTCCGGCACGGGCATCCAACACTTCAACAAAGTTTCCAAGTCTAGCACTGGGCAATCCAAACTTGACAACATGGCCATTCTGTGCAACCGAGCTCATGATCCAACACTTGAGCAAAAGCAGCGCCTAGGGCAACTCGTCGAATCCACGGATGCGTGCAGACTGGCCAGTCCTGCACGAAGGCTTCCAAGTTGCAAGCTGAGGCAATACCTCCTTTGACTTGCCGGCCTTGGTCGGAGACATTGGGTCACTGAGCATTTCGAGATCGTCATGCTGTTCAACCTGTCCCACAATAATTCCAAGCAAAGCTCAACAGCACCCCAGGTGCTTGAACCGAATGGCGCCTTCAGCAAGCGGATCTCTCCTGAGGACGAGCTTATGAACTTCGAAGATAATCAGGCTTTCGGGGTCACGGGCGATGTGCACAGTGGAAGCAAGCTGGTGTCCTTCTGCGCTCTGCCTTATGCCAATCTCAAATACGGCATCATGCAAAGCCTACAGAAGGCATCCGGATTCTGCACCTCACATCTCTGAGGACGTGGCGACGCCATCGTGCAAGCTTCAAGGACCAGCACTGAGCCGTGCTATGCGGAACAAGTGGCCAAGTGGCAGTGTGCCAAAGCACAGTATCAGAGTCCAAGTCCAAGTGCAACAACCGTCAGCAACCCTCGGTCATGCGATGGCCGATTCTTGCGCAGATTTCCAAGCAACCCAGGCGAATCGTCGAATCGTAGCACTCCATGCACTCGTAAAGGCATCCATTAAGGACTTGCCTCTACGCAGACATGCAAAGAACAAATCACAGAAACATGCTCGTAGACTCTCGTAAACCTTGTAAACTACAAGCTCTTGAGTTCGCGTGTGCAAGATATTTGCTAGGGTGCCAATTCGGCACGTGAAACGAACCAACATGAGGTCGATCATGAGCTGCAAAAGCTAGTTGTAAGGCGACAGGCTGGCACGAAGCTGCAGTTGCCTTTCTAAGTTCAGCAGGAATGTGGTCGAGATTGGAGATGTGATGAGATGTGGAGATGCTACAAGATACATCCATATTATATTATATATTCCAGGTGATGTGGATGAACCGAAACAGGTCCTGCTATCTTCGCGCCGACAGGTCGACAAAGATTCGGCTGACTGAGACGATGAGGATCAGCAGGAGCCTCGCCGGCACATGCTTGACGAAGTCTGCAGGGAGATCTACGGAGCAGACGAGGCTCCGGGACTCTAGTGGTCTCTCGTGGCCCCGACGAGAATCGCGCCCCGTGGCCAGCGGCATTCGTTCGGGCTTGCGCCTTGCAGAAACAAGGATGCTCAGCGTCGAGAAATGCCCGCAGAACTTCCAAGACCTGACAAGAGGCCAAGCTCCAGGCTGCGACATTTATGTCGAACGGAGATGCTTGACCCTCGTAGTAACCTTTCAGAACCAATGCTTGAAGCAAGGCTGCTTCAGCAAAAGCCACACGCCGGGCCTGTCATTACATGGACAAACTCCATTGTGATGTCTTTCATCGCAAAGATGGACCAGGTGTTGTCGTGCGGGTAGACGGCTGCAAGAAATACATGAATCAGCTGCACGCGAGAATCCGACAGCCGAACCTTGTCAAATCTCAGTTGCTGGCTTGGATTGCTCACCTCGAAGCGAATGTTGTAAGTACCAACTTCCTGAGACGGTCCAGGCATCTTGAGCAACATTGGTACTCGCATCGTTGGGCTTGGGGCCACCAGCGCCATCTCATCCAGGTACAGCGACCTGACTATCAGAGGCTTTCCCCAGCCGAATTCGGCGACCCTCTTGCACTTGCTGCTCAGTCGCAGAAGATCGCCAGCAACTTGCGTGGGAATCGCCAGTCGCAAGGGAAGCGGCTTCGGCAGCACACTCACCTTTCTGGACGAGGTCTGAGGATTCCAAAGTCTGGAATCTGGAAGTTAGCACTTCCACGGGAAGAAACTTTGTTTGAACTTCCGGCCGCGCTTCTTCTTCGTCCAGACATTCTCTGCTGCTGTGGCCACTTCGTCCCTAAATGAAGAGCAGGAAAACGCCTCTACATCCCTCGCACGAGCGTCCGAATGTGACACGCCACTACACGAGTGCAACGCATCAATTGGCTCGAGCTTCTTGCCTCTGCCGGTTTTGCCAGCGGCAGGTGTGCCGCGGCACGTTTTTTGACTTTAGGGAGACCAGGACACTGTGTCTCAAGCCGCTTTTGCCGAATCCAGCCTTGCTCACTACACGCACCCCCTGCCCTCATCACCCTTTGCCTTTGGCCCGCTCACAGGCTTTATTCTGACAGCTGTCCCACTAGCTGTGCTTCACGCTCATGAGCTTGCCGAGCAAGTCGCTCAAATTATTGCACCAACATCCACTTCGGTGGGATCTGCTCCACTGTCGTCATTTCAGTTTCTTGCAAAGACGGCATTGTGAGTGTGCGTAGGAAAGGCCATGGATAATTGAGGTCTCCTCCCTGCAAGCAGCTCGAGCGCCCGAATCGAACTTCACTTCACGAGGGGCCCTGGGGCAGTCAGCAGGGCAAAAAGACTTTTTAGGGGCCCGGATGGTCATTCCCCAGAGACCATGACCCGTAATGCGCTTCGGGAAACCACGCTCTCGTTGTTTCAATTCGCCCTTTAAGCCTTGGCAGAGACACTCCGGTCAATTATGCCATGTCCACGACTAGTTCGTCAGCTTCCCGACGGAGACGACAGTTTTGCATTTGCAAGAAACTCACGGAAACCCTGCAGAAGCCAACGAACCATGAAGAGAACTGGCCTTCTGTGGATCTTCATTGAACATGATGCCCTCGGGCCTGGTCCAGTGAGTCGGAGCCACTCCGCAGGCGTTGCCGTAACCTCCCTGAGGCAGCCACGCTCGCACCGTGAATCTCTGTAGCGTTCCTGCAGGGATCTCGTGGAGCACCCGAATCTGGATCAGCACCTTGACAACCAAGCCGTCGACGATTGACAATAATGCAAGGCAAAGCGAAAGGTACCAGTGACAGCATGCTCCATGTGATCTACTTGGCTGCCGACGTATGCCAACACCCGGGGGTCGGAATTTGTCCAACCTTGAACGCGAATCTGGATGTCTGCACAAAGCTGCACGCGGACCGGCACGCGGACCGGAAACCGAGCAGCATGTGCTGCACATCTCAGCTGCTAACCAAGTCCATTGCACCGAATCGGAATGGACTTCAGGTCCAGCCCGGGAATTCGAAGGTTCGCATCGAAGGTGTCCCTGCTATGGTCCTTCTTAAGTCAAGATTTTTCCATGCACTTCTCTTGCATTTTTCCGGAGATGGCGGGGTGCGGGTGCTTGCCGGGGGCTTGTGGTGTGGGACCAAATGTCTCTCCTTCACATCGCTTACATCGATCGTTCCTTCCTTGGCTTCCTGAAAATCTTGCAACCTGAATCTTGCGATGAAAGCTACGTGCACCACAGACAGGACCCGAGTCTTTGCGCCACGTGCAGCGGATGTCATGTGGCTCTGCGGGGGAAGGTCGACGTCTTTCAAGCGGCGACAGCCGAAACATCAGCGCATGATACAGAACCAGTGACGAGAATAGCAGTAGCCAAGATGGAAACGGCAAGGGCCTGGCGGTTTCAGTCCTGCTCTTTTCATCGAATGATGAAGATTGTTGCTTCTGGACACCTTCGAACACACTGGTTCTTGCTTCGATTTTCAACGTTCCTCGCTTCCTCTTGAAGGACACTAGTTTTTGTTCTCCGGAATGTATGAAGTGCCGCCAGCTACACCTAGCCAGCTGCTCAAATGAGGTTCAAAGGATGTTTCTGGTGCCTGCGAGAGGCATCTTATCCTGGAACATACAACCGTTGCTGCAATGAACATGGGATGCTTAGAAAGTGCACACTCGAGTGCATGTGCGCGTTGTGAGGGACACGCAAATCTAAACTTGAAAGCTTGGGCAGCTAGGGCAAACAAACTAAGCAGGGTCGATAGAGCTCGTGCGTGATTGCCCGCATGATCGACAAGGCGGGCGCGAGCACGCAAATGCAGTCGGCCGCGTAAAGACTATGGCAAGTGCCGCGCTTGAATCTGCCAGGTCGACACCCTGAACGTAGACAACTGCACTTGCCATGCCTATAGAGTCATGCCAGGTCGACGCACTAAACCGCAGTAAGTACGACATGATGTCAGAACACGAAGTCAAGCAATGTCAGTGAACAACCTGCACGATCGTAATGCCGATTGCTGCAACTCCCATGTTGATCCGTGTTGCTTAGTCAGATTGACCTTGGGTGAGGGGAGGGGCCTCCCCACTCTCAACCTGGTATAGAGCCACTTCCACCCTGTAGGGGGGGGGAGGGTCCCCCTCCTTAGTGCCTCTGAATCAATCATTTGCGTGGTGGCGGGGCCCCGCCCCTCCCCCCTCCAACATTGTAAAAGGACCAGATAAGGTCCTAGACACAGCTTTAACTGGGTCACCACGACTTAGGTGAATTGGTAAACGACACCTCCCGAAGCTCCACTAAGCTAGCTTTTGTAAAGTAGTCGATGCATGGTTAGACGTGCCGCAACAAACCGGCGGATTGGGAAGTGTTGAGGCCAAGATAAAAGAATTGTGACCGTCCTGCAAGGAGATGCCCCAGTAGTTTGTCGCCCTCAGCACGCGGCCCAAGTTCAATGCAATGCGCTGGAACCGGGCCAATCTCTATGCCAAGCTTGCATCTTGGGCTGCTGCTCTGGCGGGCGTCCACCGGGGTTCAAGACCCGAACACCAACGGTGTAAGCCTCCCAACGCCCGCAGGTTCTGCTCTCCAAATCTCAATAATTTTTGCAAACATTCAACCAAGGCCTTGCCCGCGTCAAGACTAGCGTTCGAGAAACGGAGCGTCAAGGGATCGTTCACTGCACCAGACCTTCCCATCTCTGTGCTGCTCTCGCGTCAGGCATGAAACGGCATTAAGCCAGTATGCCATCGCTTCGCTTTTAGAACCAAGCCGGCCGAATGAACACTCGCTTTTTTGTCTTCTGTCGTTCTGCCCTTCGGTCGCAAGTGAAACTTCCATCTTGAGTTTACGCAGGTTACGTCCTTCGCATCGGTTTAAGCAGCGCCCTGCAGGTCAGAAATGCAACTCCACAGGCAATCCAGTCGAAAACTCGAAACCTTCTCTCCATCTGATGTCTCTCGGCCTGGACGGCCGACAAGAACAGCAGAAGGGTAATCATTCCTGCAACGAAACTCAGCGTCAAGGAGGCTCCTCTCTGTCTGCAACCATTGCAACGCAGACAGGCGCCTCCAGATGACTTCGCAGAGCCTTTTTCTGAAGAGCCACCTTTCAGAAGTAACCCTCCCAGTCAACTATAACTACGTCCCCAAACATGCGGCATCTATGCCACCGAGAACAGGCCATCACAACTCAGCAGCACCAACACAATAATGTTCATCTGCACTCCATGCGACTCTACTACTGGTCTTCCGCCATCACGACACTGCCTCCTTCATCGCCTCCACGATCACTTTGCTTGGTCGCATCTCCCTCCTCCCCTGGTTCCTGCCCGGGCCGTTGTTCAACATCACCCGTCATCCCATGGCAGATGCCTGTGCCTGTGCCTGGGATGCGGTGCGGCCGTTCTTCTCTGCTTCACTTTGGCAGACACGGAGCTCTTTGCTCCAAGACCAACCAGCATTGCAGCAACACCTTCGCGCGCTGCCGGGAGAGGTTTTTGTAAGTTGGCAAAATGCGGCCAAGTGGCCCGGGTCCACCTGAGCAGGATCGAGCGAGTGTAAAGTGCTCTGACGAAAGCTGAGCCCTTGTCCAAGGCCCTGACATGGATGACTTCGCTTAGCATTGCAGATTCCTTGCTTGACCCTCTTTTCCCAAAGCTGTGAAGCCGGGATCCTGTCAGACGCGGCAAAAAAGGGGAGCGGACTCTTGTGCACGGTGACCTACTCCATGCCAACAGGCCCAAACAGTAGAGAGAGAACAGGAAGATCGCTGCGGGAAAGAGGACTACATTTCACAAACGAGAGCAGGATTTTGGGCTGGAAGAGCAAGCGACGGCAAGGAGACTGCGCAGGCTAACGGTTTGGCCGCATCTCTGCTGTGCCTCCTAGAGCTGCAGAACTAGCCGCGTGAGCGCCGTAAGGACACAGCGACAGCTTACACAAATCCTTTCCAGCAATTTTGTAACTGTCAGACCAAGCGACATGTTCTGCAGCACGACTTGCGCCTGGGAATCGTAACAAAATTCACCGAAGCTATGCAGATCATGTGGTGACAGAATTATGTAGAGCCCGTGCTTGCTGAGCTGCATCGTTCTTGCACTTGCTGCACTTGTCGATCGTCTCGATAAACACGCAGCCAAACCTGATAGGCTTGAAATGCACGGGGTGGGGATCCTTCGTGTCGTCTTCGTCGAAGCGTGTTTCCATGTTCCAATCCACCCGAAGGTGAAGGCGCTCTAATATCGCTCAACTGGGCAGGTCCATGGTCGACAGTGCATCTTCACAGGCTTGCGATACGTTCTCTTCACAAGTCTTTGTGACGAGCATCTCCATAACGATGCCCCGAACTACGCTCAAAAAGATTCCTCAGCCTAGGCCCAATGTGAACCCTAATTTGGTCACACGACATAGAATGCACCTATCGCCTTCAAAGGCTCAGTGCCTCTGCAAGTTGCTCAGATCGCCGTGCACTTACTGGAGTGCCTGCAGCAGCAGTGCTTCCGGTCCTTGCCGCAGGAATATGCCTGCACCAGCAGCCCAAGGCAGATCTCACAGCTACATTGCTATCACCAAACAAGAGCATGCTGCCTCCCTTAGCTCGCAGGTATTCAAGCTCTTCGTCTTCTTCCAGGTCTGCGAGCCCGGGATGATGGCGTCCTCCTGCAAAGCGCAGCCGGGGCGACTGGAACTGCTGCGTGGCTTCTGTCCTCTCTTGGGGGTGCCGAGTCGGCAAGAGACTGCTCTCCTGGATCTGGCCCCTGGGCTAGATCGGCTAGATCATTCCACGAACCAAAGATCATGAACCAGCCTTGGAAGAAGGAGGCTCCTGCACAGGACCGGGCTGTGTTTGCAGAATGGCAACGGAAGGGGATGGAGGCATGCAGAGGCGAAGGCAAACACAAAGGGAACCTCGCACTTCTCATTCTGCACGTTCCACTCGAGGTATCCACTGCAGCAGCACCTGAAATTCACGTGAACCCGAGGGCTGGTGCAGCTGTTGTTTGAAGTGGCTGCACTCATCCGCATCAAGAAGCCCGGAATGCACAACCACGACATCCCCGCCCTCATCGCTGTGTACAAGTCCAACAAAACATGGATCCAAGTCCATTCGCACGATTGCTGCGCTGCATTGTGGCGACAATTTGTCCACCCCACCGGGACCCAGGACGAAGCCGGCGAATTCTGAGCCATATTGTGGGCGATTTCTTTGCTGTCAAGCTTCGCGCTTCGCTCAGCAAACACAAGCTCGGTATGTGTTACAGGAGCGTGATCTGTAGAGAGGGACGCACAAGAGTAATGGATCCAGTTGCCAGCGCTTCTCCGTGAATTAAGCCAGTCAGCATCTTCGCAACTTGATCTGCCGGAGGAATACAGGAAGACAAGCAATACAAAGCTGAGATCATACTTTTCAGGGAGATTGAACAGTGAAACTAGAAGAACTTGCGGACAGCGGCAATAACGGTCAGCATCAACAAGAATGCGAAAGGATCGATTCATGTTATAGTACCGACCTCAACGAATCCGTTGATTCATGCGGCAACTTGATGCAGATCCTTGAGTTCAGATGTCGGTGCTTCATGCCAGCACTGTCTCAAACGGATTCAACTTGACTGGTGAGTCGACGAGTTTCAAAATTGTTTCTGCTGGTGCTCGGCATAGCTGAGATCGGCTGTCCACTGCTGCATACTAGCCCTTGCCACTGTGCGTGCTTTACACTGCTGGATGCAGGTATTCAGCACTTGTCGAGTCGAGGCTTCGCTTGATTGGATTCTAGGTTTCCGTCGGACTTGCAGCGCTGCCTTTTCTTTTGCGTCGAGGTGTGCACATGTAGACATCAAGACTTGTATGTTTAGTCTAGCCACTGTGTGGAATGTGGAAACACGGGTGATCTCCATGGCTGCATGCCCTATGCACTATGCGCATGTAGAAACATTTGCACAAGAAGGCTTCGAGACGAGATGAAATGGAGTGCACGCTTCCCTTTAGTACAATAAGCTTGGGACCCACTGCCACACTTATGGGTGAATCCTCAGCCACTCGCAGGGTCTGGCTCATCAAACAGTACTGTGCAGGATGGTGCGCGTAAGCATCTGACTGCTGCTGTCGCAGGGACCAAAACTGAACAGTGAGGTGAGTGCAAACTGCCAGTGCAGACATGCAGACATAGCAGCTACGCTCCGGAAGACCTCGAATGATCCCTTGAGCCCTTGATCTGCTTCGCCACAACACTGGGGTCTTTGTCTCCTTCAGTTATCACAATGCTTGCTCATGAAAATTTCGCCGCGATGCAGACAGGTCCTTTGGTCGAACGGACACACGTGTTCCCCTTCAGAGACGAACCCACGTCGCAGCAGCAGTGGTCCCTGGTTCCATCAAAACAGTGACGGACAACGATGTACAAACAAAGCATTGAATCTAAAGCAGGAAATGATGCCCCAAGCAACGGTCAGTTCCGTCCAAGCAGCATCTTCTCACCACAGGGATGCGCCTAGGCCGACTTTCCAAGGGATTCCGAGGAGCCAGGGAGAGGGAGAGAGAGCGAGAGGAAGCAACTATCCCATTCGAGGTCAAGTAACATTCCTCTGCAGGCAATCATTCCACCTGCATGTGAGAAGGCATGCACAGGCCCCTTGCATTGCCATCTGTATGTCATGTGGACTGGCTTGACGAAGCTACTACTGGACCCCCTTGATGCAAATCAGGTTAGCGTCCTTCCTGCTTGGACTCGAGAGCTTCATCCTCGCGATCACCACTGTGAAATGTGGTGATCGCCTAAGACACGTTATCCCTGCCCATGCCTGTGTGCCCCGTACTGTTCGATGACAAGTAAGTAATTGTGAGCACTTATTGTCAGAACGAGATGTATTCGGCTCTCGGGAATCACTGAATGAATCAAACGAACTTGTCCGGAAGTCACCTGATCCTGTCTAGTGTGATGGCAGAACATCTCTTCGCCCTGTACTGTTACCACTACCAGTATCTGGCAGAACTGCTTCAACAAGCAGTCAAGCAGTGCTTCTGCGTTTACACAAATGTTCTCTGCTGCAGTGACAGGGTCGTGGCAGTGGCTGAGCACTTCCGGTCGAGCCTGTTGGAACCGGCGATTGGCTCGTCCATGCCAACAGGTGCATCCTTCCGCATGTTTGAACAAAAGGATGTTTGGCCAGCCTGAGCTGACGCACGGCATCCTGGCGCAGCTCCGCGTCCGGGTCTTCCTCTGAGTCGTCCGGTTGAGCTTGGTTGGCTGGGGCAGTCCCTGGATCACACGCACCATCGTGGCATCCGTCAGTCTAGAGATGGTGAGGTGGACACCGAGAGACTGAAGTCTTGCGATCCAAAACCCTGCCTATTGTGGCAATCGTAGGGGTGTCCTTGCTCCCTCCTGGCATCAGTGGTGTCTTTTAGTGTCCCTCAACAGTGCAGCCAAGGCGGGCCAAGGCGCCTGAGGAAGCCTTCTGGCACGGAGGTGTGTCCTGGATTCCAGGAGTTTGCTTTCGAGTCTCAGGCTTTGATGGACCGCAACTCACGCCAGCAACAGGAACACACGAACTCCGCAGCTTGCGACTGCCACACTTCTTTGGGTCCATGTCCTGTGATCCTTTCGTGTGGCCTGGCACATTGCAAGCGGCAGGACATGGCAGGACCCGGTGCCAAGGCGTGGAGAACAGTCACAAACCTGCTTCTGCGGTTGCACCCGACGGGGTGGTTCTCTTCGATCCCTGGCAACCGATGCAGTGCACTGACAAGCGAGCTGGCGCAGCTAGCAATTAGAATGAAACAGCAGGGCGGCCTCCGCCCCGGAGGTCCCTGAGGCCGCATCGCGTCTCTCGGCTTCGTCGTCAGCTGCCTGGCGCGCTCTCCGCTGCAGGGAGATGATCGCGGCTGGGCCAAAAGACGGAGCCTGGACCGCAGCTGAATTGGCCTGAAGCCCAGCGGCAGTGGAACCTGTGCACTGGCATGGATGACGAAGTGCGGGAGAAGACAGCGAGAGCTCTCGGCAAGGCCTTCGGGTTCGTCCTGACAGCTTGGCAGGGTGGCTGACTGGCATGCCAAGCAGACCACTGAGGCCCAGACATTCGCTTCGATTCGGGCAGGTGGCCCCGGTGGAGCAGTGTCCCAGGCAGCGTGGTCGTTAAAGGAGTCTTGCCAGGCTTCCCAAGTGTACCTGGGCTCGGAATCGGGGAGCACATCATCGTCTTCACCATCATCATCATCATCATCACTACTATCACCAGCGGCATGAAACCGCATGAGATGACACTGAGGCGGGACGTGGGACCGAAATTAACTAAAGCAGCAGTCATGCGATGAGCTCCCAGCAAGTGATGGTCCGGACCACGTCGTCGTTCCTGGATGAAGCGCAAGGTATTGGTCAGGCAAGAATCGAGTGCCCAGGCGTCCTTGAGGAATGCAGCATCCTCCCACATGGACTTCCCTCAGATGACACAGCAGACACGAGCTGACATGCAAATCCATGCAGCAAAATATACAGAGTGAAATCTGGCACTTGGCAGTGAAACCCGAAACCCGGAACCAGTAATTCATGATGTCAATGTCTTGTTTGGGCTCATTCTTGCCCTGCCCTTCCATGCCGTCTCTGCCAGGTTTTGGTAGCATCATTGCCTTGCCTTGCCTTTTGGGCTGCCTTTGTCATGCCTTGCCATACTGTGCAAATAAGCCCTGCTTTCACTACTATACCCTCGCCTGCTCCAGCCCCTGCCCTGCCCTGCCTTCACCCGTTCTGATGCCTAGGCACAGCCCCGAAACGACACGCGAATGTTTGTAGAAATCACAGGATGCCGCGCTCGTGCTCGCTTTCTCTCTCTCTCTCTCATCCGGGCATCGGGGTCGGTCAAGACCCCGGCTTCAAGCCCACCCCGCACGTCTTGTGCAGGAGAGGGGTGTGAGATACGAGTCGCGCGCTCTCCCTTTGCTTTGCTTTGCTTCGGGGTTGAGCTGCAAGCAGACCTTGCAGCCCGCGCTGTCGCGCTACCCCATCCAACATTTCGTTTGGATGGGCTCGGCTGTACGAGTACACGGCTGCTTGGTCGTGAAGAAGGGAACAAGTGCCTCCGTGGGGGCAAGTCTACTGAAACAAGAGCCAAGCCCTGAGCGAACATGTCACAAGGTGCCCCGCGGATCGAATCAGGTTGGAAGGCTGAGCTTCAAAGGCTTTCGGGGGAAAAACGTGCCTGAATTAACGGCCCTCCACTCGTGTGTTGGGTTGGGCACCCCTCTTGTTTGGTTCATGGATGCAAAAGCAAGTGCCCCCGAAAAGCGAATTCACGACTCCCAGACTTTTTCAAGCGGGTGCCTCAGGTTGTAGGTGGATGGAATGGTACACGGAAGGAGCTTAGCTCCGAGCTGCTTTTCACTAGGATTGAGTGTCTCACAAAGGACTGAGTGTCACGTGCTTGCAGAGAAAGAAAAAACTGTGTCCTCCTGGGCCATCCGGATCGCCGTGTTCAAAACTTTCTGTGCGAGTGAGTCCCTTGCGTGGTTGTTTCCCTCCTTTTTGCCCAGCTCCTTGCCGTGGTGGTTTTCGTGGTTCAGCTGGTCTTGTAGTTCCCGGCACCCAGTGTGGTCGCTGTGGCATCGGGTGGTGTGCCTCGCCTGTTCCAGGGTAACGGGTTTGCTCGTAGTCGTCCACCGCTCGTCTCTGTGCATCGCTTGGTTGTAGATGGCCTGCTCCTCCGCTGTCGTGGCACCCCTCGCTGACGAGCTAGCACTGGCTGTAAAGAGTCCACTTGCAGGTGCAGCCTCTACACTTCGAGGGTCTACCCTTTTTGGTGGGGTGTATCCGCGTTGGCCTCGGTCTGGTTGCTGCACGGTGTTTGGGTGCTCCGGAGTCTTTGCACCCTTCTTCCTCTTCTTTTTCCCCTTCTTCTCCTTTTTGCCCTTCTGGTGCTTCGTCTTCTTGGTCACTCTCGAAGTTGAGGATGTCGAGGAGGGCTAGGTCCTAGTTCCTCACTTCCTTGGTCTTCTTGATCTTCTTGGTCTTCTTGGTCTGGTACTGGTTGTCTTGTGCCACGTTGTTGCGGGGCCGCTGTCTCGTTGCTGCCTGTTGTGCCCCCTTCTCTGTCCTGGGTAGAGCCGCGGGGTGCCGAGTGTCGTGGATGGGACGGGGGCGGAGCTCTGGGTGCCGAGCGTTCGCGGGAGGACGCGGCCGTGGACGAGGAGCTCTGGGTGCCGAGTGTTCGCGGGAGGACGCGGCCGTGGACGAGGAGCTCTTGGGACGAGGAGCTCTGGGTGCCGAGCATTCGCGGGGCTCTGGGTGCCGAGTGTTCGCGGGAGGACGCGGCCGTGGACGGGACGGGTGGGGAGCTCTGGGTGCCGAGCGTTCGCGGACGGCGGGACGACGGGGCCGTGGACGAGGAGGAGCTCTGGGTGCCGAGTGTTCGCGGGAGGACGTGCCCGTGCACGGGACGGGTGGGGAGCTCTGGGTGCCAAGCGTTCGTGGGAGGACGCGGCCGTGGATGAGGAGCTCTGGGTGCAGAGCGTTCGCGGGAGGACGCGGCCGTGGACGAGGAGCTCTGGGTGCCGCGCGCGCCGTGGACGGGACGGGTGGGGAGCTCTGCGTGCCGAGTGTTGGTGGGAGGACGCGGGACGGGTGGGGAGCTCTGGGTGCCGAGCATACGCGGGAGGACCCGGCCGTCGACGAGAACTCTGGGTGCCGAGCGTTCGCGAGGGAAAACGTGGCCGTGGACGGGACGGTGCGGAGCTGGGTGCCGAGGGTTCGGGAGGACGCGGCCGTGGACGGGGAGCTCTGGGTGCCGAGCGTTTGCGGGAGGACGTGGCTGGGTGCCGAGCGTTCGCGGGAGGACATGGCCGTGGACGGGACGGTGCGGAGCTCTGGCTGCGGAGCGTTGGCGGGAGGACGTTGCCGTGGACAGGTAAAAAGCTCTGAGTGCCGAGCGTTCGCGGACGTGGCCGTGGACGGGACGGGTGGGGAGCTCTGGGTGCCGAGTGTTGGCTGGAGGACGCAGCCGTGGACGGGGATGGATAGGGAGCTCTGAGTGCCGAGCGTTCGCGGGAGGACGTGGCCGTGGACGTGGCCGTCGACCTGACGGGTTGCTCTGGGTGCGGAGCGTTCGCGGGAGGACGTGGGTGTATGTGTCTGCAAGTTGGAAAGCCCTGCTCTGGATCAAAGCTCTCCCTGATGCCTTAAGAACGGTTTGGTTTTTGGGTTCCCGGCTTGACCTTGTTGTCCAGCTGCGTGGAGAAGGGCTCGGCTGCACGATAGAACAGACAAGGAGGCTGGCCAGCAGTTTCCCCCTCGTTGTATGATGTCAAAGCGACGCCCATTCCCCCCACAAGCAAGCAGTCCCAACGCATGCTGGCCAGCCAAAGGAGCAGGAGGAAAACTTGGTTACGGCGCCTGTACGCGCCCATGCGTTTTTAGAGATTTCAGAATGAGGCGTTTTGCATGGATACGCGCGAAACCACAGCGAGAGCGCAATCTGAAATAAAATTATTGTTCAGGCAGGTGCGCGAAACACTAGAGGCTGAAGTAAACTTTGGGCCTAACTGCGTTTGCGCTCGGGTTTTAAGCTCATTTCTGAAGAGGCTGCAGAATAAATTTTAATTTAGGGAGAGTTTTGAAGGATGTATGGCTGAGTTTATATTAAAGTATTGACTTGACTTAGGCTTGACTCAAGGTCCAGGATTGGGTTGAGGCTTGAGGCCAGAGAATCAATGCCGCTTTTGCTCAGGCCCCCCTTGCCAGTAGTCCCAAGTCGCGCAAGAGTTTTTTGGGTTTTCGCCACAGAGCCTGCCACACGTAGGTGTAAACTTGCGGGCCATCACCATCATCATTTTCTGGTGGGATCCGACACCCGAAACCCCAAACCCTAAACCCTCATCCTAGGCTTAGATTGAGGGCCCGCTCAATAGGATATGTGACGGCCGGAAGCTATTATGCCCCNNCCCCCCCACCCCCCTCCCTCCCACCCCAACCCTAAAACCTGCAAAAACGCATGGGCGCCGTCACCAAAAACTTGCACTGCGCTTCTTCGAGCAGGAAAACACCGAGACTCCCCTGGATGAGCCCCCTCTCTCTCTCTTACAAAATGCGCTCTGAACCTTCAGTGTACCAAAATCGACTGCATCGAGTGATGTTCGATGTTCCTCTTTCCTGAGTTGATTTTGTCAGATTGGCTTGGTCCCAGCACTCCGCCAAGAGACCCCGCCTCCTGCACTTTGAAACTGGTTAACTATGCAAGCCTTTCATCGCAACTATGCAAGCCTTTCATCGCAACGCGGCCAAACATCGCAAAGGCATACACAAATCGGCGGGTTCGTGACATGAGCCTGTGAGTCAGTGAGATCGCGGCTGCGAGGCAGATGTACCGGCTGAATTCTGTTGATGTGCTTTGGCAAACAGAAGGCTAGCATTCTATGCCTTCCTGGCAACCACCCGGATCAAATTCCTGAGCTTCCCCGCAATGGTCGTTCTTGAAAATTTTGTGAAACTCCTGCAAGCAACGACGGTTGCTTGGGAGAACTGCTGAGTCTTTTAGAAGGTCCTCCTTGGTTTTCATCTCGCCCGTCCTAAGGGGCCTTCTTTCCTGAAGAGAGACACGGATGTGCCAGTATTCACAACATGAACCTGTCAGCGTCAGCCTTCGGGTCTGTTTCAGCAGCCATCACTACCTGGCCAGAGAAGCTTGCTACCCCTAAAATCTGTGCAAGCTATGCTCATCACTGGACCATGACAACTTCCACATCCGGCTTGGCATTGTTGGCTCGGCATCAATGCGTGCAACTGGCGAAATGAAGCTTCCGTCTTGCAGTCGTGAGTGATGTCCCGCTGGACACGCCCGACCGACGTCTACGAGCTTGGCCGTTGACTTTGCACAACTTGCGATGAAACAAGCCCGAGACCACATTGACGCCGTCTTTTGTCAAGAGTGTCGCAAGTCGATGAATGAAAGACGCACAATGACGCACAGTCGCACAGTTGTTGCCTTTGAGTTCGTTCGTTTCTTTTGCGACTTGATCTCATCCTCCTTCAGAGACTACCGCTGAAGCTCTGACTCCTGCTGGTACGGAAATAGATAACCGCGACTGTCTGGTGTCACAAAGGCCTTAGACTCCTTCTCCAGTCCGCATACCCAGGCTTCTGACTCCCCCTCTTCTCCTTTTCACTGCTACCCTTCCATTGCTCTTGCTGTAGCTTGTCGCCGTCGCTGCAACGACAGAATGGACTTGACTACACAAAGGCTTGCCCGACCCAGGACACATGTTTGAGCCAACACGGTCCCAAAACGCCCGGCGCGACCGCTGTGTCTAGCACTAGCAGGAAACGAAGCCCGGACTTCTCCCATGCTGAACAGCCTGCTCGTGCTTGAAGCCTTAGCAGTCGCATGCACGGGCTTCAAGCGCACAAAAATCCGGACTGATACTGCTGCATATCGCGACGTGATCAAGGACCTGACTTTGATGTCGATGGTGCCGAGCCATGGAGGAGCTCTTTCCCCAAAGGTCCTGCCGCTGGTACGCAGCCCATACGCACTACACGGAATGGGCATGAGGGGCTATGGAAAAAAGTGTCGTGCTAAACTCTTGCTACGGCAGTCTGTGGTTTGCACATGTTTGCACCAAACAGCCAAACAGCCCTGTCCAGGAAGGAGGAAGCTCCAAACCATGATTGCGGGTCTCCATCTGGGTGCAAGCTTGCCTGCCAATGCAACAACTGCCCACGATTCAGATGTTATCATCATCATCACCATCATCATCATCTTCATCATCATCTTCATCATCATCAACAGCAGCAGCAGCAGCATATCATCACCACCATTTGTGTGTATGTGTATATCTATACATATATATGCACACATATTTGTGCTTCATCATCTACTTACTTATGTGCTTGTCCAGTCAATTATCTGATTTTGTTCAAGCGTTTCAAGTCATGTCTCTGGCATGTCTGGACTGCCCCAGAATGTCTCATAGCTTTCGACTTCAAAGACCCGACATGGCCTGGCGAACGCCGTCGGCATCAAGCGACGGACGCTCCGCCAGCGCCTTTGCAAAGGGTCTGCTGAAAAAACACGGCGTGAAGCTACGACGCGATGCCCTACGTAAAAACATGTGATGGAACGCCAAGGAGCGCCCCAATAGGCCGACAAGAAGATCAGCCATATCATCACGTCCTTCCAGATCATTGCAACTTTCATCCTTGATGCAATGATTCCTACCTGATCCGGTAGAAGGTGAATCGATTCCCCAGGTCCAGGTTTAGGATCAGAATCAGAATCAAGATTGCCTACATTCACCGATAAGTAAAGCCACCCCCTACAGCCAGTGCATGCATCCGCCGATTGACGGGCCGCTTTGAGGCCGAAGTCCAGCCCATAAAAGCAGTCAAGGCTCGTTATGAACATCTGGATTTGGGAAACTAAACTCAAAAGCTTTGAGCCAAGAAAACTTGCCTCCAGAGCACCGGTACTACTCCCGTTTGCACACGATGGCCGCTGCAATTCTGCCTCTTCTTTCCTTGCAAGCTTCTTGCTTGTAGACACTGGGCCCCGTGCTCGCAGCTAGGCATGAACACAAAGCCAAGCGGGCTGATCCCGGTGCCTAGGATTGAAACATGTACAGGCAGACACATCCACTGTTTGCTTGCCTGGGAACATGCTCATCACCTCACAGAGCAGAATCCGCACGGGGCACGGGCATAGTACACGGAAACCAGCATTCGGCGGTGGTGTAACAACCTGCCATGACTGAAATGAACCGTGCGCCAAAGCTTGGTTCCCTCTTGTTTCCCTTGTGGCTCGCACTGTGACTGCAACAGTGAATCAGGGCACATGTACTGGCACATGCTGTACCATGCCCGGCTGACAATATGCACCACCGGAGACGGGGAAGGCCGCACAGGTGTGAATGTGAAGAATCCAGAGGCTGCCTGTCGCACCGATGGGAGATCTCCAACAGTAGCAAGCACGGCTTTCTGCAAGCCTCTCCCAGCTGATTGTTGCCTTTGTATACGACGCCCATGCCTTGCTCAGAGGCTAGATGGATGGGTAGATAGGGAGACTGAGAGAGACAGATGTATAGCTGAGAGCACAAACAGACAAGTAGCTAGGTACGTACACAGATGCAGGGGTAACAACAGGCAAGTAGGCAAGCTTTTTGGCTTTGGGTATGCCAGTGTTTCGGGACTTGAAGATTGAAGGTTTGCCGCACCTTTCAGGACTTTGGGTTTAGTGTACGTTCTTCCTGCATTACCGGTCCTGTCAACAAAAACAAGCTGGGCTTGAGAAGGGAACGAGTGACATGATGATTTGACACGGGTCGCATTGCAAAGAGCACTTTACAGCAGAAAGCGAAAGCTTTGAAATGGAGCAAGGGGCTGTTAAGCGTTAAAGTCACAAGCTTGCATGCTCTTCATGTTCGTTCAATCTGCTTACGTCTTGAAAGCAAGTGAGATCAAGTGAGTGAAGGCGAAGACTGCTGGCCAAAATGCTGCCAACACGCACACACACACACAAATGACTACGAGCACTATTGTTCCTTTTCTCTCCAAACGCATGCTCCTATGCCCTACGCACACCAACGCGGGCATGTAGTTCTGCACTTGGTCCATGGCCCATGATCTCATAGCTCAAAGCCTCAGAAGGCAGCTTCAGTTGCGACCTTGGACTGACTCCGGATGGAGCCTAAAATACACATCCAGCCATGCCTGCGACCACCGTACATACTGACTGCTCTCCTTGGCAATGCGGCACATACAAGCTGGAGCCAATGATGAAGTCTCAGTACCGTCGCTGGGGCACTTGCATCTTGGAAAAGGGCCACGTAGAAGTAGTTCGGCGAGGGTGTCAATCCAGGGTTGCTGACTCGAAGGTCTACCGTGATGTCCGACCCGCGCAGCCTGCAGCATGAAAACTTGAAAGCCATGAAAAGAAGTCACACAAGCACGGAGCCTGGGACGTGCCGTGACCAAAGTCGCCTGACAGGCCCCAAACTCGTGCCGACTCTACGAATATGAGCTCTCCCATGACACAATTTAGGCCTGGTTCAAGAACCCGGTGCACTTCGAGAAGATGGGGCTTCCACCATATCGACAGGAGTCCTCAGCAGCAAGTCTTTGGGAGTAGCACCGCCAGCAAGCCCAGCTCGGGATGGGATGGGCTGAGAATCGTGCGGCAAAGACAAAGCCTTCCGGTGCAGTGACCTTAAGTACAGCGATAAAAGCAGAAAGGCAAGATTCGACCACTTGGTGCAAGTAGCTGCCCACGAAGCTTCACAGAGATGATACGATCATGCTGGCCTCCATTCTAACGCTTTCATCGGCTTCCACACCATCTGCCACACCGAAATTGATGGTCAGCTTGATCCTTGGCCAGCCAGACCACGCTTCCTGGCTTCACCGTCTCGTGGAGATGATGCGCCGCCCTTCGATCAAGGCTGAGTGCAATGCTCGGCCCCTGGTGTTTGCAACGAGGGAGTCACCGTAAAGGGCACTTGCCTGGGAAGACATGGCCGAGTCTGAGAGACGAGCCATCAGACCTCAGTAGACTGCCCGAGATCGAGGCCCCACAAGTAGGAAGCCACTGAAGGCACCGTCGCTGGTTCCTGTTGCCTGCAGCTGGGACCATTCAAAGTACTCCAGGTGCACTCAATTTAAGTACTCATAGCGCGCCGTGATTGTTCGGCCGATCCAGGGATAGATCGGCATGGAGGCGTCGACCACGGCTCCATCCTCGTCAACCAGCGGCTCTACCTGCGCAACGACTAGAGTGAACAAGCATTCTGAACGACATAAAGGCAGGTGATGCTAGCAGTCTGCAGCTCCCTGGCTTAGGGGAGGACCCTCCACGTTCTGAAGTACCAGTTCATCACCTGACTTTCGTTGAGTGCAGCTGCTGACCCTTGAGCTTCACGATATCGCCTTTTCTGCGAGAGGTGGCGATGCCACACCAAGCTGAAATCGGATTGTGGTTCCGGCCTCAAAGCTCAAGGCATCAGGGCACCATCCAAAGCCAATGCTTCGCAACCCTGGCTTTGGTGCGAACGGGCACCGGCTGGGTCAGAACGGCAAAGTAGTCCTTGCGGGCATGAGCCATCACCCAACTCTACAAACAAGCGCTTATTTGCAAAAGCTGGAAGGTGCTTCACTGAAGCGACTGCGAGTCCATTCTGATTTCATACTAAAAAACAAAGCAACGCTGGTACGACGGCTTTGGAGCAGATGGACCAGGCCAGCACCCCGGCTGGCCGGACTCTGCAGCCATTGGCAAGTGTAGCCAAGCTTCCATGGTGTTCATGATGCTAGACACATCGGAGCGTGGCATGTCGTTCCCATCATACCCCAAAAAATCACTGCCCTGTCCAACTGAGGCGTCAATGTCAGAAAGCATTTGCTACCTAGTCAGACCGCCAATGCTTGCTTGATGGACCCTTGAATTCTGGATTTGCTGCTGGCTTCTGCAGCATCTGTTTCATTCCATTTTGGAGCAGTCCGTCATGGCTGGAGCTTGAAGTCATCCTCTTGTCTTAGAACTCTTTGCGTTCAAACTGGGCTCTCCTTTCTGACTCTCGGCGTCTACTGTTCGGGCTCGGCTGTTGCTATGGCCCTTGTGCCCCAAACAAAACGTACCACGTCAAGGCTTTGAAACCCAGGATGGTGCAAGGATGCCAGATGGGCGCGACATGGCTCCATGGCCGCATGCTGCACAATGTTCGACCAAAATCACTATAAAAATCGCCTTCTCGCCAGAGTCCCGTGCGGGACTCCGCCCGAAACGCCTCGCCAAATGTACTTCAAAACCTGGTAGGCCGGTAGGTAGTCGTTATTTTGGATGTACTGGCAGTGTCCTGCTGCAGCGGAGCTGCGAATCACAACCCGAGGTGAGTCTTGGAGCTTGGTGGTTTTGGTGGTTGGGAGTCCTGGCGTAATTTCCGAGTGGTCTTCTCTGTTGTCCTGTGTTCGCAGCCTACACTGGCAGTGTTCCTCTGCACGTCCGGGCTTGATGGGCCTCGCCTCAGCAAAAGCTCCTCCGTCCGCTCTGACTGCCAGCCCCCTCTCACAAGGTCCTCGGGATTGTTGAAGTCAGTACTCCACTGCCGCCGAAAATCTAAACCTCAGAAGCCCGCATTGTTAATGCTCATACACAAGGCAGCATTTCGAGGTGGAACTGACGTGTCATGGTTCGGCCACGGCTACTGTAGATCCGACCTGACGCTTCAATTGGCCCTCAAGATGAGGCCACTGCCATTCTCTCCAAAGCTGACAGATCTCAGAGCCCGCAAGCCTCCCTCATGCCTTGGTGTCACTGGAAACATCTTGACATCTCCAACCTGAGCGGAGCCTTGCCGGGGCCGTTGCATTGTGTAGCCTGGAGGTCTTTGTATCACAAGCACATCGTTGACTTCATGTGGCGTCTCCTGTCATGTCATCCAGCAGACGAAGGCAAGGCCGCAAGCCAGGAACATAGCATGCACACATTTAACTTTTTCGCGTGGTGCACCCCACGCAATTCGAACGTCACCAGGGCATCGTTCCTGGAGGACAAGCATCTCTGCGCAACAATCACAACAGAGTGAAATTCAGACTGGGTCGCAAACACGCCGTAATAGATAGGATTTATGAACGAGTTCGAGAGTGTACCTCGGTTCTCTGTAAGCACTTGGCATAGTACAGCGGGCTTTGGAAGGTCGAGTGAAGGTCACATTAAGTTGTCATGCACTGCCCTTTACTGACCATGGCTGTGGCTGATGTATCCGAGCACAGCCATGCCGTCAAGGTCGAGCCTCATCAACGACACGAACACATCTGTGCATCTCGCGATGACAAAAACGAGAGAGCGAGAGAGACAGAGAGAGAAAGAGAGAGTGAGAGACAGTGAGAGAGCGAGAGAGTGGGTATGAGTGTGTACGTGTGTGTGTGTGTTTGTCTGTGTGTGTGTGTTTGTGTGTGTGTGTGTGTGTGTCTGTGTGTGTGTGCGGGTGTGTGTGTGTGTGTGTGTGTGTGTTTGTGTGTGTG